TTTTTTTTTTTTTGAAAATTTTTTTTTTTTTTTTTTTTTTTTAGTGATTAAGTGATACCCTAACTATAGTTCTAAAAGCATGCAGTTTCTAGCAAAATGCACTAAATTCTTTTTACCCCCTCATCAGTATGAAGTATGGGCTAAAATTGGACCCATAGATACTACAGTTATTCAAATCTAAGTTGACCCTGAGTTTAAGATGACGCCCTTGTAATTAGATTCTGTATCTGGAAAATGTATAACTTTGATACAGTTTTCCAAATATACCATCTAATTGTTGGAGATTTGCCTTGAATTTGTCCCCCTCTCACTGGTGCAGCAGGGAAAATAGTGGCTGCGGGGAGGGTTTGGTGGAGCATCCCATGGGAGCATAGGGGACCCCCCCCTTTCCCCTGGGCTGGCAACTGGTGCCTGGGGGCACCCAGGGTCCCCCCCCATGGCTGGTTACTGAACCGGGGAGGGCACGGAGGGTGTGTGGGGGAATTCCCCCACTGACTGGAAGTACTTCCGGGTCTGCTGCTGAGTGCTCAGCAGACACCCCCTTCCCACCTGCCCCCCCACCCCGTGGGATGCTTCATCCGCCCCAGCATCTCAGCGTTCATGAGCTGCACCTGGCACCTCGAAGTATGTAGAAAAAACATATAAAGCTTTGTCTATGGCTGAATTGCTGATTCTCCGAATATGAATTGAATCTTCAGATTCTGCCAAATCAAATTGGGACAGTGATCCGAATCAGCGAATCAAATCACTGCCCCTTAACTTGGGTCAAATCTGAATCGAATACTGCCCACTTCTCGCACCCCTAGTGTTTGGAGTGATTGAGTTCTGCCTGCTCAATCACTATGGTTTTTGGAACGACTGAGTTCTGCTCAACCGATATGTTTTGGAACTGATTTGGCTGATTTGACTTGGAACACAAAATATATTAATAAAAAAACCAATGTTTCCCCAGTATGGCATGCTCCGTGTGGGCTATGTTCAGTCAGTTTCATAGTTGGTTTCCATGACTGAGTACATGCTGTTTTGGGCAGCCGTTTAATGATAGACACTGGATTTGAGGTTTTTCTGTATGTGAGTATAAAACGACGGGCTTTTTCCCATGCTGACTGAAAAGAAAAAACCTCATTGTATATTTCAGTAAATATGGTAAATTAATGCCTGCAGATATACTCTATTTCTAATGGATTTCTTTTCACTTACCTTAAGATGCCAGCATGCTTTTTCTGTGGTATTGGTAGCAATTTCTACTCAAGTTTGTCACTGTTGGTAACTTCATGTAGATTCAGTTGTATATTATAATATCTGCTTTAAGCTTTAAACTCTAAGAACGTGATGTTTTTCATATTATCAGCTGTATTTTTGTCACCTTACATTTTAATTTAAACTATTTTTATTACAGATTAGTGCTGTTAATTAAAATAGCAGTTACAGTGGTTGCTGCTTTTGCTATGTGCTGGCTCCCATTCTGCACAGAAGCGGAACAAATCCTGCAAGTACTCAGAAGACTTTTTCCCATTGACCGAGGCTTGTTTGAGGCATGCATGCATTTTATTTTTCTTTGTAAATGTTCTGTATTCTTGGATCCCTTGAGAAACCTTCATCATGACCTTTGGGGATTTCACGTGGAAGACACACCACAGACGTAGTAATCCGAGCTGGCTTCTTTGGCAGCGATTTCTTGCCAGTTATTTAATCCAACATTTAACCCCTCGCTCAGCTGGCATCTTCCAGGATATTATATGAGTAGGCAACACTTATCCCATCATCAAACCCATACTCAAGTCATGCATTTTTCCATTGAAATAGATTCCACAGTAATTGGCAGCATCAGAATATGCAACCTTTAACTTAACACCTTTGGTGTCTTCCTTTCAGTTAGCATAATACTCAGCTCTAGTAAAAGGAATTTTAATTTACAGACAGTGTTTTGCATACAGTCAAAGACTGGCTTTATCTAACAGTAACTGCTTTCTGCATAATTTTTTTCCCCAAAAAATCCACCTTGCAGCTTTAACCTTTCGAATAGATTCAGAACCCAGCTTTCCCCGAAGTAGGAACAAAACCCCAGTTCACTAATGCTTACCTTTCCTGGGACTTAGAAAGCTTTATAGAACCTGGGTTTCAGTGACTGTCATTAGTATAAATGGTTTGTTTTACAAAGGTAGTTTCGGCTAACAGTTCTTCACTAGATGCAAATGACTGCATAACTTGCGGTATGTTTGTTCTGGAAAAAAGTAATTGAGGCATTTCTTTTAGGTGCAGCCACTGGATTATTTTCAGTTCTTCTATGCTAGCAGCTTGTTAAAAAGTAACTCAAGCATGGGAAACATGGGAGATACAGAAACGTACAAACCAAAATGCCTTTGGTCACTGTGTACTTTTTACCCAGTGCTGTGTTTAAAAATAAAATCTGTAAATGTCAACAAACAATGCATCTGAAAGAGTCCAAGGATTTTGGTCTAATATTAGCCCAACTATTTTCTGAGCTGAGTAGGGGAGTGACTGACTTGGATACTAATCTAGATAAAATGAGAAATTGTCCACGTAAGCAATGCACAGTAAGTTTATACTGAGGGGCGTGTAACAGGTTCTTTGAATTGGTTCCCATTTACAGAAGCAGTAACAAATGCTGATGGTTGTAAAATCTTATTGACTATTAAGTAGGCGTCTTATGTGTTTGCTGGTGCTGCCAAACCCTCTGTTCACTTGTAATCCTCAGCAAATTTGAAGAGCATATTCTGTATTGCTAGTAAGCATCCAAGGAAGATGGCTCAGTTGTTGGTGCTAGTAGCTTTCTTGCCGTTATGTCTACACAGCTGTGATTCAAGCAGCTGTTTAGGGATGAGTTTCATGAGCATGATAGCTGTGGTTACAAATTTAATTTTGAAATTGATCCTAGCACAACTGCTAATGTCTTTAGACTTCTTGATTTATTAGTAGTTAACTGTGTCATTGCTAGCAACCAGTAAGCAGAGCTAAATACACTCAGGTATGTAATAAAATGTGACAGCATATAGATTGTCTTCACATTTGGAAAAAGTTTCATGTGCTATCATTTAATCTAAAAATTTCCCAGAAGCAGATGTTTTCAGAGCTTTATTTTCATAAAGTGCATAGCATTATGAGCTAAGACTTGAGACCTCTTGTGTTTTAAGAAAATATTTCTCAGTTATTTTAATACACGTTTTAATCCAGTCTTTTTTAGCCAAGATCAGACTGATCCAAATTTTTCTTTCAGCATATGACGTGTGCCTATGAATTTTTGTTTTTTTTGGTAAAGTAATAAAAAAATCCTCTTATTGTTTGAACCTCAAATGAAAATGGATGCAACTCACTAATTAACTTTTCAGGATAAAGTAGCCAACGTTTGGTGCAGTCTAAGTGTCCTTATAAAGATAAAGAACATTCTTTCACCTCAGACTCAGCTTAAACTCAGGTAAGAATGAGCTGAATGGCTCGATTTAATAAGATTATGGGGGATTTTCAGGATTTTAAGAGCACAGGGCCCAGTGGCTTTCACTGGGATCCAGTGGGACTTGTACTCTTAAACTAGCAAGGTGCTTGTGGAAATCTCACCCACAAGCTCTTTAGAAGAATTATGAATGATTATCCCGTTCACATTGGTTTTCAAAATATTATATGTTCCTAGTGGGTATTTTATTCCCAGGTAATGCAAAAAGGATTAAAGACTTCTCCCATGTTTGAGCTTATAATAGTTAACATTAATGTTAATGATTTTTTAATGATTTGAAGAAATGAATTAGTTAAACTGGAGACATTAGATGTGTGCATTTTTTTTCCTCATTTCTTCCAGTGTTTAAGCTTTTGGCAGCATTGGTTTCAAATAGGCAAACAGTTCAAGACCAGCTTCGTACTTTTTTTTGAAAGTGCTTATGTTGGTGAGGTCCAGAAATTGTTCTAGTTTTCAGTGGTACTTGGCAATTTAATACACATTGAAAATGGGACTTGGGTTTCTTAATCACTTTGTTGCTTTTGAAAATTTTATCTGAAATCCCAAAAGAGAAATTTTTATATTAAAGGGTAAGCCTTTTTTTTTCTTGAATCCTTTTAGCTTTGCTTTCACATTCCTGAGCCTACTTCCTGCTTGTATAAAACTAACTCTTCAGCCCTCTCTCAGAGGATTCAAATTTGCTCTGGTAAGTGTATATTTTTAATTGTTTCTTATTTTAACTCTACAATAGTGTTGGAGCATGACCAACAGATCTACTTGAAATTGCCACAGTGCACAGAGTAGAGGAACTGTGCATGCTGTGAAATGTCACTTTGTATCTGCTGAAGAGACTGCTTAGAAAGTGTATGGCTAGCAGAGTTAACTATCAGAGTCCTCTAAGAGGACCTGACTAGTGCTCTTTAAATCTCAGGTCCTTTCCCTTAGCTTCAGTTTTCCTTATTTAATGCTGTATTTTATTATTTTCCTCTGAAGAGTCTTTGGAAGATTTTGTGCACAATAAGCTTTGTATAGATTTGAGACTTCTCTTCTTTTTTGTTTTGTTTCCAAAATGATATTTTTTCTTAATACACTGGCTGCCAAATTCAATAAAAATTCCCACAGTACTCATTGTAGCCTCATCAGTAGCTTGAAAAGGGAATGATACTTTTTTTTTAATGTTTGCTTATTTTACTCTGCAATCTAATATCATTGGACATAAATTGGGTGTGTTACCATGATAGGAATGCAAACTGTTTTCTCTGAAACCCAAATCATCATACTTAGATATTGCTAACCTTGTAAGCAGCGGATTGATTTTGTTTAAAATAGTGATTATTTAGATAAGTACTGCTTATGAATTTATCATCCTGGGGGGCAGGAGGGGTAGCGTTGAGTCTTCCCAAGAATTGTCTTCTAATTTAATTCTTATTCAATATTTTTTTCTCAGTAACAAGAATGTTGCTATTTAGTTACTACTTAAGTACACACAGTTAATGCAGCATAATACAACTAATCTTCAATTGCATGGTTACAACCTAGTACAGCCCATGTTGCAAATATTTCTGTTGGGATTATTTGTAAGAATAAAATTAAGCATGTGCAAAAGTCTGCAAGGTTCAGGCTTAATGATATGAAACATGTTCTAAATACTGTGGGCCAGACTCTCCAATTAGTTATGGGCGCGCATTTGTATACTTGTGCCTCCACCTGTACTGAAACATGTAAGCTGTACTGCACTTGAACATGTTTAATACAAATTGGGTACATCTTTAATGACATCACATTTCTCATGCTGCCTTTACATACATTTGACCAATGGAAAAATTAAAACCCCGTGCTTTGCATTTGAGTTCCATGTATTAATACCTGGTCTACTTTACTCCTTTAAGGTTAGTTGTGCATTGTCATTTTTCCTATTCTCCTTCCAAGTACACGAAAAATCTGTTCTTCTAGTATCATTGTAAGTAAATTTTTTTTTATAAGAAATACTTTGTCACCTCCCTTTCCCCCTCATTTGTGTGAAATTGCATGCTTTTCCTTGATTTAAAAAGTTCTGGGAGGGGAGCCAGTTATGTTAACTTTAGGTCTTTGGGCCAGGCTGCCACTATTAGTCCTCCATGGATTCTGCTGTCTGTGTACAGTAGGCAGAGTGGCATTCTGCCCTGCCCCGTGCTGAGGGGGAGGGTGGTAGCACGTGCCAAAGTCAGAGCTAGCATAGTGCTAGTGGGGAGTTCTCCTATGCAAAGAATATTTCTCCTGGTCAGTCTGGTCTAAAGCAAGTAAAATTCTGAAACGTGTTTGAAATAGCTAGCAGAAGTGTTGCCATCACAGGGTTTGCCAACCTGTCTCTCTTGATTTCAGACCAGTCTGCTTAATCATAAATGAAATCCCATTCATGGCTACATGGTTTTTACTTGTATCAACTTTCAGGTAAGTCATGCATCATTGACTCTTACTCTAGTATTGTTCTTGTCTTGATCAAAGTAAGTCCTAAATGTATCCCCTTTACCTTTTTAAGGTTACTCAAAATGCAGTCTTATTGGCTTATAGCCTAACTTACTTCTGGGTGTACTTCTTTTTTAACAGCATGTTGCCACTTCTGTTGAAAGATGGCCTCTTATTGGCCTACATTGGGACAACATTAGCCTTTCTTACAGTCTGCACAGCTTCTTTTTCAATATTTGAAAAGACTTCAGCAGAAGACCTGCAGCTGAAATCGTTTTCCCTTTCCATTTGGGGATACATTCCTTGGTTAAAGCCATTCCCAAAGTTTGTTAAGAGTCTGGTAAGTAACTGTTAAGTGTTTTTACTGTATTTTTGGAGTTGTTATAATTCAGTTTTATGCTTGAAATCATTCATATTAGTCTGGCCTTCTATGTATGCTATGGATTAGATTCTTCTTTGCACACATTTACTTAATGCGAGTTCCATGAGAACCCTCTCTCATTTTCTCTGCCCTGTTAAGCTAGTAATAGCCTCTGAACTCCTGTATGCGAGGCTCCCCCAACTTCAAATGTAAATCCTGCCTACCGGCTCATAAAGAGCAAGTTTAGGAAGAGAAAATAGAAGGAAGAAAATCCCATCTCTCCTAGATTCTTTCCATTTTCTACCAGTAAGTATGGTTGGACCTCTTAGACTGGTGAGGTTTTTTGGCACAGGGACTTTCTTCATAATTCTCTTTTCTAACTAGTGCAAACCATGTCTTTGTATTGGATTTGTGCTGTGCCTACCATAGTTGTGTCCTGGGCCATGGTTACAGCAACCCAGCATGTAGTAAAGCAGCTATTTAGCAGTAAAAGACCCTGTTCCAAAATATTCCCTGTATTAAATAGAAATGAAGAAAGACAGTCTCCTATGATGCTTTATTTGGAAGTGCTTGGCTTGACTGTCTTTGTATCAGCCTAGAAAATGGTGCACAGGATGCCAGTACAGATGCACACGGTATTTTCTGAGATGTCAGCCATATATAAAAGATGAAGAATACAAAGCACCTTAAGTAGTGAGAATAATCGCTTACTTATTTGATACTGTAAATCAGTGTTAACTAGTATATCATTCTTTATCTTCCAGTTTCTCATCTCAATAATTCTGATGGGCGTCCTCAGTTTAATGAGTGCTACACTGAATCCTCCACAGAGGCTACCAGATTTATTCCCAATATCTGTGTCTGTTGTTTCCTGCTTACACTTCTTATCCTTCTTGATGTATTTTAATATTGTTGTACTGTGGGACTCAAGAAATAGTAGAAACCAGAAGAAAACCAGTTAGTTAAATCCAAACCTGTAAAAATCCAGGACTAAATTGCAAAGGGACTGACTGTTTTCATTGAATTATGTCATGCAGCTAAACCACTGTGTGTTTTAGTGCACTTCCCAGGATCTGATGTAAAGCAGGAAAGAAAATGTTTTATACTGAAACACAGATAAGTTGATCATAACTCTTGTTTTAAGGGAAAAGAATTGCTATTTCCAAAGAATGTCTGAAATTTAACTTGGCCTGTTAGTCTCCAGAAATGTAATACTTCTGATGTTGCTTGTAAACTGAAAATACATAATTAAAAGAGCAAAATCTTGAACCTGAGCTAGCAGTGCCAGTTTATTTTAGCAAATCCCCAAAATTAATTTGCTAGTGTCAGTTTCACCCATTTCCTAGCATGAAATGTGTAAGTGATTCAACGTAATATAGGTTAAACAATAACTCTTGGCTGTTACTTCCAAGTGGTCTCTTGCTGGCCCGGTTTGATTACATAAATTAAACTTCCTTGCACACTATTTCACTGTCCTCCATCATTGTTTCAAATGATATGCTTAAAATCATCAAGGCCACTTCACTAATAGCCATAGCTCAGTATCATAGTTCATGCTAACGTGACCATCTTATTCTGACATTAACCTCTACACCAGCTGAGGTCCATTTTTACTTCAACAAGAGTTACGGGGTGCTCTGGTTGTCATTACTGTTTTCCCTCCATATCCTCTTTCATAAGGACAATGTAATTTACTAACCCTACATCAACATAGATAATTCCCATCAATTTTATGACCTAAATGGAATGGTTGGTCTCTTAAAATTTGATAAAACTCCATCTTCTCTTCTAAGATGTTTAATTTTAAAATATATGTATTGTTGGGTAGAGTCCTGTATCATTAACCACAAGCTGGACTCCAATTTCGCAGCACTTAGGTGACAGGCTAAGAAGTTCCATGGAACCTTCATTTAAGCTATAAAGTTTTGCTGAAGGCAATACAAAAATGATTAAGCAATCAGCATAGTGTGCTGTACATGACTTCCCTGTCCCAACATTTTCAAAACATCACACACAAATATGTGCTTGTTACTGAAATGCAAAGCTGTTAGTGGGGGGACAAGGTGCCTCCAGATAACTTGAGGCTTTTTGCCCAGAATGGGAGAGCATCTCTTTCTCCTGTCTTCATCCCCTGGAGTATATTCATCATCTTGTTCCTCATGCTGACAGTGTCCAACAATACTCAGTAGATTTATTAAAATCATTACCAGATCCTGTCTTGATTTGGTTCCTGTCTTACTACCCAATTGAGATCAACTGAGTTAGTAGTTGCTGCAGGCTGTCAACAGATTCCTGCAGACATCACTGCTTCAGTTTATGCTGCTCACCTTTCGCTGAGATCCCACAGAAACAGATTTTACAGTATTCTTTGTACTGGGGCATCTAGAACTCTGAATAGGTATCTAAATGGTATGTAAATTTAGGAAAATAAATTAGTTAGGCTAATTGAAAGCTGAGATGTCAGATCAAATATCTGAAGGATTAACTAGATTTTTAAAAAAAAAAACCCTCCCTTTCATTTGGAATCACTTCCAGGCTGAGTGACACTTACCTGAACGACACTTAGCATACCGCCTTGGTACACTAGTAGTTTAAAGGACACAAATTAACACATTAAATAATCATGCAGATATTGCATGTACTGGAAGAAAGCAGAAGCCATGAAACTTTGCATGGTAAGTACAGCCCACAGGAGAACAAGTATCAGGGCAGAATTAGGGAGAAGTTACAGTCTAGATGCTCTCATTTGTAATCATCCTAAGGAGTTGACCATCCCTGTTTAAAGATCACTCAGCAAAATACCAAACTGTTGTTGACATTAACACATTCTATGAGTGCCCTGCTGCATAGCAAAACGCCATGAGGGTGTGCATCAGCTGTTCTAGGAACTTACTTCCAAATATGTGAATTATGAGTTCACTTAAATGAAGTGTCTCTCAGATAAGTTTACATTTCTTAATTGAAAAGGACAGTTTAAGACAAATTGTCTCTCAAAAAAAAATCTTTTCAACAAGTAATTACCAATGCTTCTAGAAGCCAGTTCTATTTTTGTACAGGGGCCTAAGCCATTGCTAATTTGTAATTACATATGTAGAGAGAGAGTGAACTTTACCTACAGTACAGTTTAATTCAAAGCTGTAACACTAATCTTTGCAGAAGCCTTTAACATTTTTCTGAGGGAGTTGTAATGATAATTATCCATGATTAAGGCATGCAAGCTTTCCATCCATAATAAAGTCTTTTATCTTTTTTAAAAAAGCATGGGTGGAGTGGGCATTTATGTGTATTAAGCCACATAAATGGGAATCATTGTCTATAGTAGCTCTGCAAAATAACACATGCAGCATTCTGTCCAAATAGAACTTGGTGAAACCTTGCCAAAAATGAAGGTAGTGCAAGGGACCACTACTCTTGCTAAAAGAATCTGTAAAACAGCCAACTAAGATGGAAGAGAGTAGAATGGTTTCACATTTCAGTTATAGTCTCTTTGCTCTTGTGCTCATCACAAGATCAGGGCCAAGTGCTTCCCACCATACAAAAACATTAGTTTTGAGTGTATCTCTTTTCTTTGTCCTTCACATGGCCTCCAAGGGTGATAAAGTGAGAGTCATATGATCTACCTTGTGTAGAACTGGGAAATGGTTCTTAACAGACCCAGCTGTTTCTGAAAGGCAAAAGCTTAGTGTATTCAAGAGGTCAAAGAAACAGTAACTGCTTTAATAACATCACACATGCAAGTAATATCTGGACAAGCTCTTAACATAACCTTGCATTTCCAGTTTTTTCCTTAGAACAATTATTACCAACACTGAATATTCCAGCTTATGGCTGTTAAGGTACAAATGATTATTGTTATATAGTTTTAGAATTGCTGATGGTCTCTCTTCTAACTTTGAGGGTTACTTTTACACAGGCTAAATATTCAAAATAAAATTTTCCCAGTATATTTGCACATTTTCCCAGGGAAAGAAAACCTCACACTCCCTAGCTGATAGAGCTATGCCAGAAAAACTTCTTGTATAGACACAGTTATGCCAAGAGGAAAGTGTTCTTCCTGGCTTCAGTCTTTTGGGGAGGTGGCAAATCTATGCTGACTGAACTGCTTTTTGTCAGTACATACTGCACCTGGACTGGAGGCATTTATGGCTAGGTTTGGCAGTACCGCCTACGTAAGCCAGACAAGCTTAAAGGTTGGTTTAATGGTGTTCACCCAGTTTGAAAAGCAGGAATTTACATTGGTGGGAAGGACAACATTCAAATTTCTGTATCTTTTTGTGCATCTCACACTGTACTTATGCAACATGCTGGCTATTGCTGGCTGTACAAATTTGGCAAATGTCTAACAAAAGGTGGTAGAGAATTTTCAGGGCCATCAATCAGATGGATCAATGGATGAAAATAGCTACCTTGCTTTTATAGCAACTCTTCCCTTTTTCTTACTGCAGTATCCAAATTGGAGTAAGTTGCTTACTATTATTCATCAGTTAAGGGGACACCTGTTTAAAAAAAAAATCAAGGAACTAATTCGGATACCTTTATTAGCACTAACATTTCTACACGTAGAATAGAAATAAGGTCATGAGTAACTAAATGTGAACATAACATAGATGTATAGAGTATACAGAGTAATTCCTAACATGATCTAGTTTTCTATATCATTTGATCAAAAAATATTTGTAAATGCCACATGTGGGGTATGGAAAGCATTTGCTGAAAATGTCATGGAACTGGCACAACTTCTCTTAAATGGCATCTTGCTAACGTTTGGGTGGGCTGATGAACTGCATAAATATAGCCCTACAAACTGGCAAGCAGTCATCACAGCTCATGGTAAAACTGGCATCCATTCCCACAGAAATGGAGCATATCATTACTGTGAAATTTTCAGTCGCTCTGAAGGCCTGGGAACCAGTGTTCATCCCTGAGCATACAGTTTCTTCCTGATCAACTCTAAAAGCAGATTGCAGCCTGTATACCAAAGCAGAACAATTATTGTTTGTAATGACTCCACACAGAAAAAGTTTACATTTTATACATCAGGAAATCTAGATCAGTTCATAGTACAAACACTTGCATAAAAGAGCCATTAAGAACTGTATTATTTACATTGAGATTATTTGGTTGTGCACATTGTAAAGATTAAATTAGATGCCAGAAATTGTATCTAGATGTGCACCTGCCTCGTGCAGTGAGCAATCCTTAACTGGCATTTGCTGGGGAGATAGATTTACAGTCATTTCTTCTCTCCTTTTAAGTTCAATCTGGCAGATGGAAAACTCTGGGTTGACACAAAATGCATTTTTTGCATAATGCCTGTGTGGGGTTAAAACAATGAAGTGATCAGCAATTAGATAGCATACCTAACCATATCCACAGTTTGTTTACAATTAAGAATCTGCCTAATATTATCTTCATGATGTAAAAATATATGAGAAGGCAAAACAAAATGAAAAAAAGAAATTAAAAAAAAAAAAATCAGTATTTCCTTTAAATTATGCTAAGATGTTTTCTAAGTTGTAATTAGTTTTCTTCCTGAAGTGTTGAAAGTTACAGTAAGCAACCTAATGCTCACAGCTGTTGAAAGCTTTTTCGCCAGATTTGTCTTCTGCCTTACACAGCAAGAATGTGGAGAGGCTGTATAAGGTCTCATAGAGACCTTGTGTTATAAAGCAGTCACAGAGCGTCAAAAGAGTCCAGCCTTAAAGACATGAGTATAGATTTGTGGCCTTTGGGGTTTTTTGCATGGAAAATCTGTGGGTCAACTGGCTCTTAATACCACTGAATATGAATATGTAGAATAACCTTTCTAAAGAGCAAGATAGTTTCATTATTCATCAGTTCCCATTAATTTGTAAATAAATCCATGAATCTAATGATGATGGCCCCAGCAGCCTTACTTAGGGTCCTGGGGGCCTCCTGGGGCTGCAGCGATCCTGCTGGGTGGAGCCTGGCCAGCAGCCAGAGCACGGCTCTGGGCAGCCCGGCTCTGCTTTTCAGCTGCGTGCACTGCCCGTGTGCGCGCTGCTCTGGTTTGTTTTGATCCCTGCATATCCAGAGGTCAAAAAAACCCGCAGGAAAACCCCCCCACAACTGGAGCAGTACATGTATGGGCAGCGCACCCTTGTAGCACAGAGAACAGCTGACTGCAGTATGTGGCACTATAGACATGTCTGCAGCACCACATACCACAAGGCCACACTCATTTGGATGCAGCCTTATAGGCACGGTACAGATGTTTGGGGAGGTTAGATTGCATTAAAAATAGCCACCTGATCTAACTTAGTTTGCCCAGGTGCAGACCATACACTTAACTGGGGGTACAGACAGAAGTGACAATTTCTTGCCCAATTTGGCCACACGTGCAGACAGAAGTGACAATTTTCACCTGATCTGGTCACAGAAAGCAGTTTCTAATTGTGACCAAACACATGTGCGTGGCTGCAGACAGCTTCAAAAAAGGCGGTAAAAATCTGACTCCTCATTGCACGAGGTATCAGATAAAGATGTTTCAAAATGTAGAGTCTTTTGTAACGTGTGTCTGCAGAGCTCCCAGCCTGTCACTCTTCAGAATGGGAAGGCCAAAGGAGAGGGGAGAGTTTAGTTTGGGGGTTTATCAGCCCCCTGGAGGATGGGGCAGATATATTGGAGTCCCCCTTCCCTGCTGGGGGCGGGAGGGC